AATCATTAGGTTCTATTACATAAAACCTATAGGCATTGGAATGTTCAGCATATCCAATGAATATAAAATCAATTCCGCGTTCTACCAAAGTTTTCCTTTTGGTATCGGTGAGTTTTACAACTGCCCGACATCCCCATACCCGCAAATAGCTCAAATTTGGCTTTTTCTTGAACCAAAGTTTATATGGGACTGTTTTGTTCCTTTTTTTTTTTGGAACCCTATTCAGCAAATAGTAGGCTATTAACCTGGCCTCTCCCCATAATTCCTCACTCAATCCCAAGTAAGAAATCATCGAGTTTACCATTTCCTTTAAAATTCCATTTTTACGTTCGGCGATTCCATTTTGTTGGGGCGGGTATGGTGTCGTGGTTTCATGAATGATACCCACTGATTGGAAGTATATAGGATCCATATATTCACCTCCCTGATTAGTTCTAAGACATTTAACCAGATTGCCCAATTGCAACTCCACCTCAGTTTTCCATCTTTTAAACTTTTCCAATGCTTCATTTTTAGTATTAAGCAAATACACATAGCAAAACCGAGTACAATCATCAATGAATGTGACCATATACTTTTTATTTCCCAAATATGGAGTAGTGTGAAAATCACACAAATCACTGTGTACAAGTTCCAAAATAGCCGATTTAATTTCCTAGAAACACTTGGAAATGGTTGTTTTGTAACTTTCGTAAGCATGCATGTTTTACATTTTTCCAGATTTATGTCAAATGGTGGTATAAAACCATCTTTTGACATTTCATGCATCCTTCTAAAATTGACATGACCCAATCTAGCATGCGAAAGCATGGAGTCTTTAATTTTAGAAGAAGTCGACACAAATGCAGAATTTTGAAAAGATGACAATTTATCAATAACATTCAAACGAAGCATTCTATTATTTAAATATCCAAAACCAACAAATAATCCACCTCGAGATAGGATATACCTATCCGATTCATAAACTTGTTTATAACCATCATAATTCAAAAAACTACCACTAACCAGATTCTTTCGAATCTCAGGAACAAACAAAACATCAAAAAGTTTAACAATCTTTCCAAAAGTAGATTCAAGATTAATGACACTGACACCACAAATAGGTTTAAAAGAATCGTTTCCCCATGTGCAACACATATCCATCTTCCAGCGGTGTTAATGTTTCAAACAACCTTTATCCTTGCATACATGGTTTGTTGGACCCGAGTCAATCCACCAAGCAACATCATCATCATGTACATAAAATGATTCAGGAATAAAGGAAACATGATAAACATAATTCTAATTAGAATTATCAAAGTTAGTCAGAAACTGACCTCCTTTCACTTGGTCCTTGGACCCGTTTCCACCTCTATTGGCTCCACTGTTTCCAGCACCATTATTGCCCAGATTCACATGAAAATCACGCTTGCAATGTCCTACCCTTAAACACCTCCGACAAACCAGTTCATTTTTTTTGTTGGGGTTATTTGGGACATGTTCCTGCTTGCATTTGCCTTGACCTTTTTCGTTCGGATTTCTTGGTTTGTTTTCAACCATATGAACTGAGGGTTGTCCAGATTCAACTTTTCCTTTATTTTTATCACTTTCCTGTGCACGAAGGGATTCCTCAATGCGCAAATGACTACCAAGTTGAACCATGGACAGTTCCTCCTTTTGATGCTTCAGGTTATATTTGAAGTCTTTCCATGATGGTGGAAGTTTTTCGATTACACTCGACACACCAATGGTTTCATCCATATTCATGTTGTGCAGTTTGAATTGACCCAAAATGTGAAGGAGTTCATTGTATTGTTCCATGACAGATCTTGAATCAATCATTTTATAGTTATTACAATCACTGACTAGAAACTTCTTGCTAGAAGCATCCTCAGCCAGTAATTTGATTCAGATAAAGAATCAAATTTTAGCCTTAGAATGGATATCAGATAAAGAATCAACCATACCATTCAGAATGTTTCCTCTGCAGATGTAGTCATCATTGTCCCACTTTCTCCTCCTTCTGGTTTCTTCCAATATCTTATTCTCCACCACTTTTGGTCTTGGAGTACTCAGTACATACGCAGCCTTCAGCGTGGTCAGCATGAATAGCATCTTCTTCTGCCATCACCTCAAATCATTGCCTTCAAACTATTCCAGATTCGTGAACTTTTTGGTTAACTCACGGGTTGATTCTGGCATCTCCACTAGACGAAGATATCAGTTCAATTATTGGAGGATATTGAGTAGGGTGATGGTGGAGAACCGGATTTCTCTTGGATCGTGTAAGTTAACTTTCTGAACTAATATTTCCACCCTATGCCTGGGTTACAGGAAATCCAGTCTAGGATAATCCAAGAGGATACTTATGTATCTAGGCACAGAAACACAAGCCAAATCGCCAAAAGGTTCTATATTTGTATAGAAGAAAGAAAGCTAAGAAAAGGGTATATCACGGCTCAATTAAGGAGTCGTATTTATTTTAGACAGATTAGGGTTTCCGTCTTCTAAATTAGTTAGGTGAATCATGAATTTAATGTCATAATCAATGGTTACTAAAATTGATAATATTTATCAGTTTTACCATAACCACCCACTAGAATTTGTATTTACCATAATGTAACTAATCTAAATTTCCGAAGACCTTTTGGGGCGCTACCCCTCGACCCTACCCGCTGACCGGTCAACAGGACCATCGCTAGGGGTTCTGTCCCTTAGACCCCACTAGGGGTGCTGCCCCTAGGACCCTGCAAGGGGGCGCGGCCCCCTTGACCCCCACATTTCTGTCGTACCAGCTTATAATTCGATCTTATATATGCATGCACTCCACATTCTCCAAACATATAATATAGAGTACAAATGATAAGCTCCTTAGCTCACATGTCAGTTCCAATTACATAAAATTCCTGGTGACACTAAAATCACCAACAGTTTGTATCACTTTTAGTAAGGTGGAAGATGTTGCGGGAGTCATCGGTTGTGATGCGACTCGGATTTTGTTTATGTATCTTGGTTTGCCTTTGGTTTGCCTGTAGGAGACAATATGAACCACGCCGACTCTTGGAAAGTTGTGACAAAAAGTTTCCATTGAATTTTTCAACTTGGAAAAACGAAGACTCTGTTGATTAGAGGTATTTTAACCCTTACTAAGTCAGTGTTGGGTAGTTTGGCCATATATCCTTTGTTTCTCTTTAAGCTTCCTAATTTGATGTTGAAAATGTTGAAATCCCTTAGGGGATCAGTTTTTTTAGGGTTTCAAATTAGGGGAAAGAAATTCTATTGGGTTAGTTGGAGTAAAGTCATGGAAAGCAAGAGTGAGGGAGGTGTTTGAATTGGCAGACTTTTTTCTTTCAACCGTTCTCTTCTGTTTTAATGCTAATATCATTTTTAGCAACATCATGCTTTGTGGGTTAAAGTGATTAAAGTGTTGCATACGGATAAAGGTATTCTCGGTTCTAACGGTTCTAACTCTATTAGAATCGATCTCAATGAGTTGTGGATTAGTTTAGTTCGGGCTACTTCTCATTTATGTTTGAAAGGTCTTGATTTGGAAGATTTTTGCAATATTAAAGTAAGAAACAATCAACATACCAAGTTTTGGTTTGATATTTGGATCGGGTGTTCTCCATTTACCCAAAAAATTCCTAGAGCTTTTGATTTAGATGTAAAGCATGATTGTAGGTTTCGGAAAGATCTAATGTGGAAGATTGGCATCTTTGTCTTATGAGAAATTCGATAGGTGGTGTTAAGGAGGGTCATTGGCATCAATTCACTTCCTTAAATTTTTTGTTTTCTTGAAACAAAGGGATTGCTTGGGCTCGACTTTTGACCTGGGAGAGTTTTCTTTCTCCTCTATGAGAGCTGTTTTTGGATGGTGTGACTTTAGCTACTAGTAAGGTTTCAACTAGACAAAACAATTACATTCCTTTCAAGTTGAATATTTTACTTTGGGGGGTTGCTCTTAATCGGTCGCCTACATGTGCTAAGCTTGTTGATGTGGAGTACACGCTTTGTCCTTTATGTGACCTTTCTCTTGAAATTGTGTCCCATTTGTTTGTTTTATGTTCGATGATTGTGGATATTTGGCACCTTATCGGAAAATGGTGGGATATCTAATGCCCAATCAAACGATACTTCAAGTGATAGTCGGATAAAGTGAGCGGACAACATCCCACTTAATGGAGGGCAACACAAATGTATTGATGCGGTGATCATAACTATTATTTGGATAGTTTGGAGGTCCATGAATAACATTATCTTTAGAACATTAAAGCCAAAAAAAAAAAAAACAAAGATTTCTATTACTTAGTTTTGTACACTTTTCATTGAGATTAGCAGTAGACGCCAACTGTATAATCTAAATTGGTCGGTGACTTTAAAACCGCTCTTTTGCTTATTTGACTTTGTAATATTTTTCTAGCATATTGCTAGTTTAATACAAATCTTGTCAAATTTTCTAGTTAATCTTATGTTTATTGTAGACAAAACTGATTATATTATGTCCGGTACAAAACTTAATTGATTATGTGATGACTTCTTTATGGTTTTAACAAAATAATAGACATGGTTCTTTCAGCACCGAGGATCACCGATGCACGTCATGCCAAAGCTACACCATCTCAAAATCCAACCCCAAACCTAAAAGAATATGAAGCAAATAGATGAGATTCATTTTCCTCAATACAATCACAAAGTGATCATTTATCACATTCTTTACAACTATGGAGGGTTTTCATGTTGTAAGACTAGAATTCCAACTCAAAAACCTAGAATGACACATAGTAATAGCTAAAAAAACAACTTTTCTAAAGATAACAAGTAGTATTAGAATTTTCCTCAACGTACGAAGGTTATATTGACAATAGCCTTGTAGGTTTTTTTTTCCATATTATCGAAAATGCCATACCAGTGGAAGGTAATAGCTCCAAAGAAACAACTTTTCTAAAGATGGTTTAGTGATGGGTGGGATCAATCATCTATGCACTAAAGTCCTTCATGATGTGAAATTACAAATATACCCTCTCTCCACAATAAATTAGAACACCTCAAGATTCTATAGTCTAAAACTCAACAAACTCCACCATGGCTATAGTTTTAAGCTCTCCATCCATTCTATATGTCTCCACCATTCTCATTGCTCTTTTCTTCTCTACATCTTCTCAAACTTGTTCAAATCACACTTTCACATCCAAAAGATCCTTCACTTCCTGCAAAGACCTTCCATATCTCAATGCTCATCTTCACTGGACTTACTTCAAGTCCACAAATCAATCAAAGATCGCATTCCGGGCCCCACACACTCCAAAGGGGTGGATTGCATGGGCAATTAATCCATACAGAAGAAGCATGGTTGGATCACAAGCACTCATAGCTTTTAAGAATAGTAAAGGCATGATGTCAGCATACACAACAACAATCACAGGGTACAACCCATCAATGCAGCCTAAAAAACTCTCCTTCCATGTTTCAAAGCTTTCAGTCGAGTATGCAAACAATGAGATAACCATTTTTGCGGTTGTGGGTCCACTTGCAAATGGGCCGGTTGTTAACCAAGTGTGGCAAGTTGGGAGCTTGGATCAGAATGGTGTTCCTATGATGCATGAAATGGAGTTTCAGAATCTTCAATCGACTGATGTTATTGATTTTTCGTCTTTTTAAAGTATTGTAATTTATATATTCTCATACACTTATGTTGATGGTGTTCAATGATTGGTAAAATGCACATGTGATCATGTTAACGATGTTAAAAAGCATGGCATGCCATCCTTCTACTAAGATTCCCTAATTGAGTATATGCTATACAAAAGTGAAAATGCCTTTATCTTAAACTTTTTTGCCTTCCCAAAAGATCTTTTTCTTATAATTGTGCCACCATACTTTTACACAATATGCCCCATGTTTGTCTTAATGATAAGGATGAGATACAATAATTATAATGCTACCAATCTGTAAAGAGTACAAGAGTTAAATTACAAGTACTTTTCATAGGGAAGCTTCGAAAGTATTCAACTTAAAAATAAAATAATAATAATAATAATAAAATCTTTAAAGTTGACTTTTTTTGTGATGAAGTCATGTAATTTTTCACACATTTACTGCTTTGATCACATCAAGTAGTTGGTTTATCACACATGATGCACCTCCTATGAGTAAATAAAAGTTTCATGACAACCTACATACACTTATGACTATCAATATAAGTTGTTATTAAGCATTAACAATATCAATAACCTAAGTTTTTTAATTCCATCAATGGCCATAACTATAACCTCCGTCCTCGTCATATTTTTTTATTTTCTTGCATCTCATTTTGATATATCATATGCTCGAATGTGTTCGGAATACAAATTCACATCCAGAAGAATCTACAGTTCTTGTAGGGATCTACCCCATCTATCTGCAGAGCTTCATTGGACCTACAATTCATCAACGGGTATAGCCCGGATCGCGTACAGGGCCCGCCAGGGCCCACGCGGGTGGGTCGCATGGGCGGTTAACCCGAACCAAATAGGCATGGTTGGGTCGGAAGCAATTGTGGCTTTTCATAATGGAAATGGAAGTATGATGGTGTATACGACTTTGATAAATAGTTATAGTCCTTCAATGGTGCCGGGAAATCTTAGTTTTCAAGTTTCGGGTTTATCTGCTGAGTCATCGGTTAATGAGATTGCTATATTTGCTGATGTGGGCCCGTTTGAAGGTGGGTCCGTTGTTAATCAAGTGTGGCAAAGTGGGAATTTGGTTTTGAATGGTGTCCCTCAAATGCATGCGGTTTCACAACAAAATCTTCAATCAACGGGGGAGATTGATTTCTTGTATGATCAGGAAAAGCATAGATAGGAAGTTTGTAAAATATATGTCAATTTTCTGAGTTACATGTAACGCCATATTCAACGACCAAATGGGAAGAATATTCTAGAATAACAAAGATGGGAAGTACTTGTAGGCATAAGAATATGTAATCATTTTTTCTTGTTTGTAGCTCCACAATCGCTTGTGTTTTTACTATGTCTTTTTTTTTACATTATGGATGTAGGAGGAGTTCAATAAATGGGTATAACATAATATCAATATGAAGTTAATTTGATTTGATCAATCGGCAGGAAAACCCAGATGCCGATTGATTAGTTTAGCAACAGGAGTGGCATCACCTGGGTGGTATGGAATGATGGATTCCAATTCCAATGATTGAATGACTTGGTAGAGTGTTTGTGGGTGAGCACAAAATAAATGTTTCCTTTCTGCTAATTCTTCTGCTAACTCACTTTGATGGTTGTCCATTAGGTCTTCATTCACTACCACTATTAAAGGTTTCCCTAGCCTTAATGTCTCAAATATGCTCCCTGAACCTGCCCCACATAAAACTCTAAAAATTCAAACACTCATTATTATTGTTATTATTATTATTATATTGGATAATTGGAAGCATGAAAATTGTAAAGAAACAAAATAATACCTGCATGGCTTATAACAAGAGATGCTGATCTTAAATAGTCTGCAATGCTTGAAGAAAAGGTAAAGTAATCAACAACCAGTAATCCATCTTCACCACTAGACTGCATTTTATGATGCATCAAGATTATTTATACATAAAACATATTCACTCTATGTGCATGTTGCATCAAGTATTTAATTTTGAATCTTATAAACATTATAAAAAGCAAAAGCAATGAAACATCAAAGCGAAAAATTATGTGTCAAAAGAAGTAGATTTGTTTGACAACAAAACTATAGTTTATAAAAACAATTAAAACTGTAATATAGACTAGATGTAATAAGCAGTCATCTAGTCAATGTTATTGAAGTTGATGAAATATACAGATGGAGTTTCCTATAAGATTAAAGTCTTAAGGTCTACGGATTGCATTTTTAAGTTGAACAAAACATACAGGGGGCACAAAAAAATTCCCCACAATATATTTCCTAAATAAAAAAATTAGAAATTCCGATTTTATTAAATATGACAAATTAGTCTAAGGATTGCATTTTAAAGTTGACCTCTTTGATCTTTCATTTTCCGAAAGCGATATTTTCAATCTTAACATCCATAACTACTTCTTTTCTACACTACACATCAAATCATCCTCACTCATTTTATTAAGCAACTCGGTCTTCAAGAGTTTTATTGCAGAAAAACATATTTCAATCGTAGCAGTAGCAACAAGAAAACCAAAATTACCTATAGACCAAAGGAAAAGAACGATGTTTTTATGTTTCCACCATCAAACCAGAAAGGTCCATAATTCCTTTCAAGTTAACAAATTTGCCATCATGTAGCAAAAAATGATAACAGATATCAAGCTGGCCAACAAGATATACCATTTTGCGAATCATTAAAATCATTTTAGTGTATCTCACTTGACTTCAACAAATTTGATTTACCAAACCTAGAAAGTGAATCACAAAAACTCAACGACACTGTTTTCTAGCAATTTTGTGCTTACTTTACTACATCGATCCCCAAATTCTTAAATTTACATATCCAAAACCGTGTTAAAAATCACTACTTCAAAATGATGTTGATTACTACTCTTGGTCATAAGACTTCTTGGAGTAACATAATATTCTGACATTTCCACAATTCCATTATTATATTTTTGACAAAAAGAATATACATTCTTCAAAACTGAATGAAACCTATCATTTCTTAAAGCTTTTAATGAGTTATTTGTTCCTTTTATGAATAAGTCGCTTCCAAAATATTTTGATCTTTTCTTTGAAGATGTTTTGACAAGGTATTTGATCTTTTCTTTGAAGATGTTTTGACAAGGTATCCGTTAGGCCTAAAATTTCAACATCAAGTGTACATAAAATACGAAATCAAGCATCTTGAAATGTGACAAAAGAAAAATCATTGTCATATTTCAAGTCATTTGATTTCGTGTTTTATTTACACTTGATATGGAAAATTTTAGGCTTAACGGATACATTGTCAAAATATATTTAAGAAATGATGAGTTTCATTCAAGTTTAAAGAAGGTATATTATTTTTGTCAAAAAAATTAGTATTAGAATTGTGGAAATGTTGGAAGATTATGTTACTCCAAGAAGCCATACGACCAAAAATTACTAACCAACATCACTTTGTAGTTGTTATTTTTAACACGATTTTAGATAAACAAAGTTCATGAAATTGATGATCGACGTAGTGAAGTAAGCACGAAATTACTAGAAAACATGGCGGCTTTGAGTATTTGTGATTATTTTTTAGGTTTGATAAATCGAAGTTGTAAAAGTAAATAAGATGCACCAAAACTATTTTAATGATTCGTAAAGGATGCATCTTAGTCAACTTGATATCTATCATCATTGTTTGCTACATGATAACAAAGATGCTATCATGCTAACATGAAGAGAATTGTCGGCCTTTCTCGTTTGATGGTGAAAACAAGAAAACATCATTTTTTTTCTTTGGTTAATTATTTAAAGCTAACTTTGGTTTTGCATGTCGTGACCGAAACGGTTTAAATATGTTTTTGTACAATAAAACTCTTGAAAACCGATTTGTATAATAAAATGAGTGACAACTTTATGACTGTTGTTTTGATTTGTAGTGTAGAAAAGAAAACACTTATGCATGTTAAAGATTGAAAATGTGATTAGTCGCTTTCGAAAATGAAAAAATAAAGAGGTCTACTTTAAAATGTAATCTCTAGAATCATTTGTCATATTTAATGAAATCGTAATTTTTAATTATTTTTATGTTATATATTATGGGGAAAAATTTTGTACCACCCTGCTTTTTTTTTCCTTTTTTCCTGGATACGCCCCTAATTTGATTTGAGAACATTCATACATGATTCCGAAATGAAAAAAAAAACATCCTCGAGGAGAAAATATATGCAAAGAGGTCTTTGCAACCTTCGTACCGTTGATTTTTCTCAAGCAAACCTTGGAGGTAATATGAATCCCTTTAATCCCACTTGATTTAATAAATATAACTGGTTTGAATAGTGTTGAAAAAGGTGCATTATTTTGTATTCCATGTAACTTATTCAAAGTACAAGGATGAATCTAGGGAAAGGTGAAGATACTTTTGTTAAGAACCAATTTAGAAGTTGAGGTGCTTACAAAACCTAACAAATCAATTCAAAGTGCTTTTGATCACCGGCCTATAAAAACCAAAAAATAATATCATACCCACTTGCTTGCTTCTCTGTATTGTCTATACAATGTTTGAGGTGTCCTTTAAATCAAGGGTTGCAAACACGAGACTATGATAAAAGTCAAGAATCAAGTAATAAAGGAAATTTTCTCAAACTTCTTGAATGGTTAGCGAAACATAATGAGATGTTAATAAGGTTGGGCTACAAGAACAAAAATATGACAAAGCTAACAATGTCAATAGTGATATCAATAGCCTTAAAACTCTAATCTTAAAATAACTTCATTTGTGTATTATGTTCACTGTTTGGCTCATCAACTTCAACTAACACTTGTTCTAGTTTCAGGAAAAAAAAAGAGCATTGATTATGGTTGGATTTTTAAAATACTTGTGAAGTTAATGAATGTTATTAAAGTTCCTTGTAAGAGAAAAAAATGTTGAGAGAAGCTTAAGCTCAAATGGTTGAATAAACCTTTGATGATGGTGAACTTGGAAGTGACAAAGGATTTAATAAAAAAACTTAGTTTGGGAAGATCACGTGATACTCTAGGGAATCTCACTATAAATCGATCTGAATGTTATTTCTTTATATATCATATAGTACGTGAATTACTTGATAATAATAAAGGTGTCCCTTCAAGTTCATATGATCAACTAAAACCGATGTCGTTAACTATGCACTTGAGTTTTCAATTTTATATTCTTGATATATTTGATGAAAATTATTTTTGGTGTAGCAAATCATTTGAAGATTGCTTTACAATGAAAAGATCAAAACATAGTTAATGTCATGTCTTTGTGACGTTAACAAAACTACGATTGCGTCAAATAAGATATTATGGATGGGAAACTCTCTTGAGTTCGCTCATATCTTTTTTGTGAGAAAAGTTCCATTGAAGCTCCCAAGATGGAAGATGTACATGTTAAACCTAGTAAACTACACACCACAAATCTTCATCATTTTAGAGTGAAATTCTTTTTGCGATCATTAATTTGTAACTTCAAGGAATAAAAAAAATCGATTTGATGAGGTTAATTTGAAAAAACGCACAAAAAATAATAGATTCAAGGGATTAAAGGATCTTAAAGAACTCTTTAAGGATTAAACTTATTACATACTTGAGGTTGGCTTTTTGAAATACTTGCAAACATAAAGAATTTGCAAAATTTCTTATTACAATTTGATGAGTTTATTTATATGTTTTCAAAGTGACTTATTTAAACCTTAGCCTATTCCACAACAAGTCGTTGACTTAACATGTAACAATGTATTACTAACAAAATATTATTTTTATTTTAAATAGTGTATTCAACCCTCTTTCTACAATACTTTTGTGATATAGATATAATTCTACTCTAAAGGTATGCTATACCTCCATATAACTCAATGAACTAAAAGTAGAATAATAGAAAACATAAGTATATATAATATAGTACCTTTTTAGGGATGTAGGATCCGCGACCCATTTGAATGACAAGGTGAGTGTATCCTTTCTTTGACAATTCTTCTTTAACTTGGTCAGTATCCACACTTCTAACAAGAGAATCAAAAGATGTTGTGCCAACAGTCACAAAAACAATTCTCTTTGATTTAAAATTGTTATCACTACTACTCTCCATCTTGTTATACTGTGTTTTTCACTCCTGTCAAAACAATAAAAAAGAAAAGCATAGAAATTAAAAGTAGCAAATAGCTATAAGGTAACTCCCCACCTATGTGATACTTATTATAGTTGTGAAAAGTAGCTAAACTAGTATCACAAATAACAATTTACAATTATCCTAAATAGGAAATTAAGATAATAAGATATGTGCAGTATAGTAACAGATGAGCACTAAAGCTATGAAGAAGCATGATCCATAATAATATAAATGAATTGCTGTAATGCAGCTCGATTCCACACAGTGAACTACTGAAATCAGATTGATCAAATAATTACTATTTGGGTTTTATATTCGCAATCAAATGATGCAAAATTGGTTAACTTTGGCGATAAAAAATCAAAATTGTGTACACGATGTTGATGAAATCTAGGGATTCAGAATTCAAATTATGCTTAAAACCACTTTCAAGTTCCGAATGCCCAAAATAGTAAGAAACATGAATCGTGTGACTAACCTTATCTGTCCATGCTCGATTTCTAGTTGTAGGTCGAATCCTAGGCTTCAATTTCGAGTTTCTTCCCTTCGATTTTTTAGATTCGATGGTGTTGTTGAATGGTTGAAGAGAGAGGAATCAGTGAATTACCGATTACGATTTCCTAGGGTTTAACTTTTGACAAAAGTACAAAAAGTCAACGGGATGTAGCTGAACGTTAACCTGATTAAAGCCAATAGTGGGCTTATTTTGTTTTCAACTTTTAAGCGTAATGTACCCAACTCTCAAAGTCCAATAGCCTTAGCCTAAATTTCGTTGTGGGTCTGCTTAGCCTATTAAAAAGTTCCGAAGATAAGTAGAGATAAAATGTAATTGGATAAGTGAATAATTTAAATTGCACGTTTAGATAATCAAAATTTTGGATTGATTTGAATAAAACTGAATAAATAGTTTGGATTTTGGATTGGTACTGAATATGTAATAAAGAATCGAATAGTCCAAAAAAAACCGAATAAAATTATAATTTATATTAATTTATATTTTGTATGTTTAATATAAATCTTTAAATTTATTAGTTGTAAGTTATGTCTTTAACACTTTATAGTAACTAATAGAGTTTGGTTGATTTAAACTTTTTTTTTAAATCATATAAAGGCATAAAGCAACAAAATATTAAAGGTAAATAATCTCAAACCTTAGGCGCATGTTCCCAAGTCAGCAATTCAAATTATTATATCATACATACTTATAAAGCTAGCATTTTTTCTTGAATCTCATGCATTTGAAACTCCCTTTTTTAACTTCCTTTCACCACATTCATTTGAAACTCTCATGACTTTTCAATTTCTTTATAATAATATTATAAATAAGTTAAATAATGTTCTATAAACAAGAAAGGGTGTTTTATTACAATGTCTTCATCCCACATCGATGGTGAGAGTAAACAAAAGAATGTTTCCTCTTTTATAAATAGGAAAGGTTGTGAAATGTTTCAAATGGATCAAACCATGAGAACTTCCTCATGCCTACCTTTGTAGGATTTTGAAGGTATTATTTGGTGAGATTGTCTATATTAGCAAGTGTCCAGTTAACTTTTAGAATTCCAAAAATGGTTTTAAACCGAATTTTTTCAGGTTTAAACCGTGTTTCAGTTAGAAAAAAAATTATGTGGTTGGGTATATTAAGTTGAACCGGAGCTGGATCAATTTTGACCGATAAAGGAATCATTTTCCTTTCACAACAAACATTTGAAACTCCCATGATTTTTCAAATTATTTATAATAATATTATAAATAAGTTACATAATTTTATATAAATATAAAAAAGCATCTACCTAAACCTAAAATTATAACTATTTGGAAAATCACTTTGATTCAAAAGCACGAAATATATACAAACCGGGTTTCACTAGAAAAAAAATATGTAGTTTGGTATATTTAGTTGAATCGGTTCGAGTTTGATCTATTTAGACCATAAAAGAAGCATTTTCCTTTCACTACATACATTTGAAACTCCAATGATTTTTCAAATTGTTTCCAATGATATATTAAAAAAGTTACATAATGTTATATAAATATAAAAAAACATCTACCTAAACATAAAATTATAATTGTTTGAAAATTCGATTTGATCAAAAGAACGATATATATACGCATATTATATTTTATAAATGAATTCTTTTTATAATGAACTTTTGAATTTTGAAAATACATATAAACAAACTTTCTATATTAAGTACCTAACTGAATTTATGATTTTAGAATTGAACAAAAAGTTATTCAATAAAAACTTACTTTTTTGGATAGCAACTTACGAGATTATAGAAAAATGGAACTATTGAACAATAAATAAAGGGTAAACAAGAGAGAGGGTGTTTTAATAAATAAGTTGAATAATGTTTTATAAACAAGAAAGTGTGTTTTATTACAATGTCTTCATCCCACATCGATGGTGAGAGTAAACAAGAGAACGTTTCCTCTTCTATAAATAGGAAAGGTTGTGAAATGTTTCAAAGGGACCAAACCATGAGAACTTCCTTATGCCTACCTTTTTAGGATGTTGAGGGTATTCTTTGGTGAGATTGTCTTTATTGGCAACTATCCATTTAAGTTTTAGAATCCCGAAAATGGTTTTGAACAAGATTTTTTTAGGTTCAAACAGAGTTTCAGTTGAAAAACCGTTATGTAGTTTGGTATATTGAGTTGAATCGGTCTGAGTTTGATCAATTTGGACCGATAAAGGAAGCATTTTACTTTCAGCACATACATTTGAAACTCATATGATTTTTCAAATTGTTTCTAATAACATTATAAATAAGTTACCTAAACATAAAGTTATAATTGTTTGAAAAATAAATTTGATTCAAAAACACAAAATATATACAAACCGGGTTTCAATAGAAAAAACGGTATGTAGTTTGGTATATTAAGCTGAATCGGTTCGAGTTTGATCGATTTGGACCGATAAATGAAGCATTTTCCTTTCACCCATACATTTGAAACTCCCATGATTATTCAAATTGTTTATAATAATATTATAAGTTACATAATGTTATATAAATATAAAAAAATCTACCTAAACATAAAATTATAATTGTTTGAAAAATCACTTTGATTCAAAAGCACGAAATATATACTCGATTATATTTTATAAATGAATTCATTTTATAATGACATTTTGAATCATGAAAATACATATAAACAAACTTTCTATATTAAGTACCTAACTGAATTTATGATTTTAGGATTTAACAAAAAGTTATTCAATAAAAACTTAATTTTTTATAGCAACTTACGAGATTACTGAAAAATGGAACTATTGAACAATAAATTTTCTGGATAACGTTTTATTTTTATTATTTAATATTTTATTTAACAAAATGAAATTAATGGCAAATAAAGAAATGAGTTTAATTAAAATGTCTTCATCCTAAATTGATCGTGAGAGCAAACAAGAGAATGTATTCTCCTCTATATATAGGAAAAGTTATGAAATATTTCAAAGGGACTAAGCCATGAGATCTTCCTTGCATCTAACTTTGTAGGACGTTGAGTGTATTCTTTGGTGAGATTGTCTTTGTCGACAAGTGACCAATTAAATTTTAGAATTTCGAAAATGATTTTGGACCGTATTTTTTAGATTTGGATCGAGTTTAATAAGGATCTGAGTGTCTTCTAGATGAGTTAGGCAAACTCGCTTCCATTGAAGGCTGAGTTTAAGTAACATGTCGTGTATTTGGTTGTGTTAGCCAAGTTTTACAACTCTGTATGTAATACAATTTAAAGTTTTAACCTTATAAAAGACGTCACTATTATCATATGTTCTACATAATTATGGTAATATTTATGATACAAAACATTTTTTTTACTATTTAAGATAAAAAGTTGTCTCTATTATCATATGTTGTACATAATGATAAATTTTAAGATAGATAAAAAGGTGTCTCTATTATCGTATTTTCTACATAATGATAATATTTAATATAAACGTTTTAATTTAATATGAAATTATTATTTAATAGATAACAATAACGATTTATTTATTTTTAATTTTTTTTTCTATTTTAATCATATAACTTTGTATATGCAAAACAACTTCAAGTTCCAACCTTATCTCTTATAATATAGTTCAACATTATAACAATACTAAAAATCATTTTTTATATTTTTTATGAAATTATTATTTAATTGTTAATAACAATGATTTAGTTATTTTTAATATAAAATATTTTTTTATATCCCACGCAACGCGCGGGCATTCGCCTAGTATCTTATAAAGCTAGCATTTTTCCTTGAACCTCATGCATTTGAAACTCCCAAAACTATATAAAATCATTTTTGCTCACACCACATTCATTTGAAACCTCCATCTTTTAACTAATACAACTCAAAAGTCTTCTTAATAATGATTTACCACTCAAAAGTTGTATAACCTATATTATGATTAATAAGCACTTAATGAAACGTTTACTATAAAAGGATTAATCTTTTTGGTAGACATGCATACAAATCACATATAAACTTCATAAAGAAACAAGCTTAAAGGTTTTTTTTATTGGTTTGAGGTCTTATGACCACTTTTCGAGATATATTATTATGTTATAGCTTTTTAAATTGTAAGTTTGTTATATACTAATTATTTATATATTTTTCTTGGTTTTGGATTCTTTTAATACAATTGTTGTATGATGTGCTTTAATCGTTAATATATATATTAGACCAGATAGATGTTATCTATCATATGTTATATACTGTGATGTAGATAATATTTAATTAGATATGTTAAATATTATCGTTTGTTTTGTACCGCTTCAAAAAAGTAACTAAGTAAAATTGTGAATATTTCAAATTTTCCATGTAATTCTGAAAGATATATTTTTCTTTTTACCGCATGTATTTGAAATTCTCATTACTTTTCAATTTCTTTATAATAATCATTATATATTGGTTAATAATGTTAAATAGGTGTAAAACGCTAATTGTAATCCTAAAATTAACTAAATTTGAATATTAAATTAACATATTTTACTTATACTTAGTTTTGATATGTTATTTCTTAAATTGTCAGTTTAAAGTCATAACTTTTGAATAATTTATATAAAATACTTAAATTGTTAATTTAAATACAGTGTTAAAGTACTAACTTAAATGAAATTTTCAATTAAACTTAAAGAAAATCCAATGATTATTTTGTAAATAGTTATAAATTATAAATTATAGTGTTAAATGTAAAAACTAAATTGTAATCTCAAATCAATTAAAATATTTCCTAAAACTATTTTTATAAACATTAATAATTTCTAAATAAGTATCTTACAAATAACTTATAACGATAATAGTTAAAAATAATATTGTAACTTATAAAAATAAAAACAATGTTTGATGTTTTAAATAACTACAGTAATAAAAATTAAAAAGTTAATCAAATGTAGTTTTTAAAATGACGATTAAGGCTATATAGTTTTAATAGATTTAATATGATCCTATAATTCAAAATAATTAATATTTTATACTAAATTAGTATAAGAATTATTATATCAAAGTTAACTATGATATTTTTATATTTAAACAACATATATTTTAAATTTATAATTGTATTTTGCGCAACGTGCGGGTATTCGTCTAGTATATATATATATATTAAAGCTCATGGCATGTTTCAACAGTACATTTTTCCTCATTCTTATTTTTGCCACTTTATTCTGCTACTTCATATTTTTGCCACATAAATTTTTCAAATTGGCAGTTTGGCCCTTGGTCAATGCTGGGGATTCGTGTCAACGAGCCTTCACCGACTCTGATGCTTCTCACCGCCATTCTTTTAATTTACAGCTTCTCCACATAAAAGAATCCATTATTCTTCTACCATGATGCTTCTCATCGCCATTCTTTTAATTTACAGCTTCTCCACATAAAAGAATCCATTATTCTTCTACCAAACAACCTTTCACTTCCTTCCTTCTCTTATTTCTCTCCCGGTTTTGATAGGCTTAAGAGCCGCGCTGTTGTCCCACCTTTTTTGCTTCATTCAGGGGGTGTTTGGGATATCTTTTTGCCTTCAAAAGTCCTTTTTGCAAAAAGACTTTTTGTAAAATGACTTTTTACAAAAGATGTTTTTAATAATATGTTTGGATTAGCTTTTGAATAATTTAAGTGTCAAGGGGTTGAAAAGTTACAAAAGACACGAATACCTGACTTTTCAAAATGTTTCTTTTCCTTCTTTCTCAAAAGTTGGTTTTAAAAGATCTTTTTGGAAAAGATAGGGCCAAAAGTGGGTTAAAAAGATAAAACAATTAGAGAAGGACTTTTTTTGGGAACTGATTCACCTCTAATCGTGTTTCTTCCAGGTGATTGTTGTCGGAGATGATGGAAAACATAAGTAGAAAGATGCGGCCCTTTGTATTCCTCAAATTTCCCTCTGAAGTTTTTTTCCCTCGATTTAAGGCTCACCGTCTTCTCACCTGGTAGAAGTTTTCTTCGATCAATGATCCCCACCCCATGTCAAGTTGATTGTCTGCGATTTTGTTATCCCCGACTATCGGTTTTCGATTTGGGAGAAACCCCAGATGTTATCGTCGAGGTTCTGAAAGAGTGAATCCTCGATTTAACGTTTTTCGTCTTCTTACGTGATGAGGTCGACGCCTACTACAACGAAGGCTGGTCGGAGGGAGTTATCGCCGTCGTCATACCCGGGAATTGATAGTCGATTTCGGTGAAATCCCAGATGTAGTCGTTCAGATTTCCTCCGGAAATGCTTCGACTATCTCTACTCTTCGCCAACTCAAAACTTCTTCATCTTACAGCAAGTTTTCTCTAACCCATTCTAATTTCACAATTTGTACACCAAATCAGCTTTTCCTATTTCGTTTCAGGATGTTTACCCTTTTTCTTTATTTTTCAGTCTGAAAATCGACTGTTTTCTTTTTCTATTTGGGTGAATTTTGTTGTTTTAGTGCCCTGCATGCCATCAGGAATTACTAGATAAGTATTTCTTTTTTCATCTTTTTTATCATTTCATTTCGTTTATCATGTTTCAGTTCCATGAAAATCTTGAATACCTTGGATTTACAGATTTTAGTGCTCTGGATGCCATGAAGATTTATCAGTTAAGTATTTTTTTCTATCTTTTTAATCATTTATTTCATTTTTCACGTTTCAATTCTATGAAGTTCTGCTCAAGCGACAATGGATTGAGTTTCAGAAGGATCACAAGTATGGGATACACTTCATCAAATTCTCTTGCCTGATGATGTCGTCCGACTGATGAAAAGTGACGCAAATTCTTTGATTTTTGATTTTAAAGCAGTTGTAAAGGTATCATGATTTTTATTGTTTTTTTAATAGTTTCATGGACGGCTTTGTCTATAGTTGTGATTGTCGTCATTTTTAGGTATTTAATGAGTCAAATGAGAGGGTACCAAAAATATATACAATCTGCAAACGGGCTTTTGTTCTTCCTGGTCTTGGTAATTTTTTTGACTTTTTTTATGTTCTTTTATCTTTGTTCCTGCAGGGAATTTGATCACTTGCCTCCATCATAACCCAAGAACAAGATTCAGTTATACCCCAACCACTTCATATTGACATTTGAAATAGAGTCTTACTACGCACCCCAACTGCTCGATGAAATGCTTGAACTAGGATGCCTAGAAGAGATCAGTTTTTTTCTTCTGGAAATATAGAAAAAAAAAAGTAATTGCTTGAGTTTAGGACATGTATTCATTTTGTGTTAACATTTTTTGCTTGGTTTTAATTTTATCTGATTATAACATTTACTATTTAGTAATAAGTTTCATCATCAACATTTGTATGTTGTTTTTTGTAAAATTGTTGGTTATACACTTATGTTTAACCATCTTTGCTCCTCCATGGGAAACAGCTGATTTCTATTCAGAGAGATACAACGAGTTGTTCCCTCTTTACAAGGTTTTGCTTTAACTGCTTTAACTTATCATTGAAGGTTATTCTGTTATTATGTTTTTTGTTTAATTTTAAGGATTAGATTGTGGATGCTTTAGGTCAATTTGACTTCATTACAAGTTTTAATTTTAATGCCATTTGGAAATTTATGCAGATGATGAAGCCAAGTTGACTCTTCATGGGTTGGCCAGGTACGTTTATCCATGACAAAGTTGGATGCTATTTTTTGCTATATTAGATACATTCATTCCATTGTAATGAAAGGAATGTGCAATTTGGTTTTATTTTTACTGTAATCAGTTCATTTATAAATTGTTATTGCATCTCTTGCACTTCACAAACGGTTATATTTAAGTAGTTTTACGTATAAAATTTAATAAATGATAACATAGGTATAAATTCAATCAATATCCTCTTTAATGATGAATTCCAACAAAAGGTGCTGACATTTTTGGTTAGGTCGGTTCCAACCACAGGATGAAGCCCATGCTGATTTGTATTTGACGTATTAAGAGACATTGTTAATTTGTTATTTGACGTATTTTACCTTTTGATTCTTCTTAATTTTTATAATATTTTTTGCTTTGTTCTTATTTTTTTATTTTTTTTTGTTAATTTGTTATTTTTAACTTTTTGACCAGGCCTTTTTTTTTAGTTTTTACTTTCTCTATATCATATTAGACGTGTGTAAAGAACGTAAGTAAAGTGCTATTATTGGTATTACTATTAACTTTGCTTCCTAACCATGATATCACTTATATACAGGTGTGACTTATAATTTGACTTGGGGCAGGGACACGGCTGAAAATTTGAAGATTAAGCTCAAACTTTTGACTTGGAGAAGAGAATACTCAAAATGGATTTGACAGAAGTTTAAACATGTTTGAGAGGAAAGGGTATAGCTAGAAAGTTGAAGGTCGGCAGATGGTTAAAGAGTTTGAGAGGTAGGGGCATAATTGGGCAGTTGAAGGTTAGGTTGAAGGTAAGCAGAAATTCAAGACTTGGTGTAGATTAAAGTCAAAATAGGAAATATTATCATGCTCTGGATGACCTTTTAATATAATGCAAGGAAGTATGAATTTCATATATATAATGAACAACATGTATGCAAAAGAACCATAAATTCGAAACAAACACGTCTGAAAAAACCTTTCTGACCCATGCGAAGCATGGGTCCTTTTCCTAGTTTTAATCATTTGATGAATCTTATTTCATATTTTTTTTTTAATCCGAATAGCCCATTTGCTGGATTCTTTTTTTTTTTCTGGCGAGATTTTTATGTCCTTTTGATGAATTATAATTTCAATTTATAACCATTTGTTGTTGAACTGTCTCTATGAGACGATCAATTTTATGTTCAATTACTTCTAAGTTTTTTTTTTAATGTTTATGCTCAATTTGATGTCTTAGTATTTTTATATATATATATATATATATATATATATATATATATATATATATATATATATATATTTGTAGTTACCTTTTAGAAACCAAATTGCAAAAACTAATCCAACTAAATCGTAATTTGGTTGGTTCGGATCTGATTTTAATTAAATTTGTACTATTTGGATCAACATATTAAGAACCAGAATCAATTGGGATTTATTTGATCGGATCGAACCGGTCCATCCAAACGAACACCACTAAATGTAAGAAACATCAAACTATTGAGTTTTTAACCAATCATTCGTAATTGGGTAAATTTTTTGCCATATACTCAGTTGTTTGGAAAATATTTACTGAAATATAATAAAATTAAATTGGAAATCAATTTTTAATTAAATAAATAATAACACTAGGGAAAGTAGTCCCTCCCCGTCTCATTTGTCAATGCTTACCGTTGCTAATTAACCCTTCCGTTCCGAATTATGATAGACTCACTATTAAAACAAAACTACTGAAGGGCATCATTTTTGCTTAATGCAGAAAAACGCAAAGGTTATGAAAATGTTCTACTCAATGACCAATCGGCCATGAAAAAAGTCGTCGCAAACCAACCTATTTTTGTCACCATTCAAGATGTTTATATGGATTTTTCAGTTCAATGTGCTATCCATCTAAGATGTTCAAATCATTATAAATGGATTTAACTTTTAATCGATTAACAATTGGATGTGTTTAGTGGTTATTGTCATTGTGCAACAAATTTGGACAATGGGATGCTTGGAGTTAGGTACGGAACTGAACTCAAAATAGAAAATATTATTGAATAGTGTAGACCTCTTGTGGTGTAGACACCTGGCGAATCCAATGTATCACAAGTGGGTGTATGGCCCACTCAAAAATAGCTCCCATAGAAAATTTTAGCAAAAAAAGTTTTTGTTATGTAATGAACAATTGGGCCCCAGTTAAGTTTTCTTTGGCACCCATTTGTAACGTCTCAATTTTCAAACTAAATTTTTCATTTTTAAATAATATAAACACCCATTTTTAATAAAGTTGCATTCAGATCAAACCATTTATTTGTTCATAAGCCATTATTCACAAATCATAGTTATAAAAAGAAAATGTGGAATCTCAAATCATAAAATTGTTTATGTGTGTGTACAGTCCCGCCTTATCAATCCGATAAGTACATACAAAATATTTAATCCACAACTGTAAGCACAAAGTTTAGTAAGTTCCCCAAAATATCATATACAACACATCATAATAATCAGTTATGGATTATCAGCGGTAGGCCTGTCAATGGGGCGGGTTTTGACCCTGATTTGCTCCAAACCCGTAAGAATTTTACGCGTTTGGATTTTAATTTCGATTCGTTTACCCGTTTACGATCCATACCCGTTTACCCTATTAATAAATGGGTCGGGTATGGATCATTGTCGATCCGCTCCACTTATAATCTGCCCCATTATATATATATATATATATATATATATATATATATATATATATATATATATATATATATATATATATATATATATATGACAACAAAATATACAACTCGATGTCCAAGTAAAATGTGATTTTTATTGTATTGGACTTTGAGTATTAATTAATGTACATCTTGTTTAAGTAGATATTTTATCTTTTTGAGAAATATTACTTTCTGGAACCCATAAAAATTATGAAAATTTAATATTATAAAAGGGTCGGGTTAATGGGTCGGGTATTCATTGATCCGGTGGATACGGGTATGGATTCGACTATTCAAGACCCTGAGGGTTATTGGAGCGGGGTGGGTCATGTTTTTATTTTTTTTAACGGGTTTGGATCAAGGGTGATTCGCTCCAAACTCGCCCCATTTACAAGTCTAATCAGCGGCCTTGAGACTATCAGCAGTCTTGAATATCACATACAACACAACAATATAAACAACTATGGGTTATCAGCAACCTTGGGGACTATCAGCAGTGCCAGTGGGCTAACAACATGCACTGTGGATTAACAACACACCTCATGGGTTATAAGCACCCCTGGGGACTATCAGTAGTCCCATGGACTCACATAGGAGTAATCAACAAATATGTTCACATAAACACAACAATCAACAAATAAGACACAGTTGGTCAGCATGTATACACTACCACACATGCATATATAGTGAGATGACTCTCCTCGCATATAGCAGTTAAACATAATAACTCCCATACAGCGAAAACCGATCCTACAAGGCACCTAACAACAATAAAGAGTACCCTCTCAATCTACACTCTAAAACCCTTAAATTGACCAAAAGTCAACCATGGTCAAAGTTAACCTCAGCAGGTCTCCACGTCGTGGGTACTACACGACAAAAAAGTCGGCAACCCTGCAGTCGCTACATCGGGGCGGCCAGAATGCCACGTCATGGGAACTGGGATTCCACAACTTAACGTATTCAGCTCTTAATCTGTTAAGCCACTCCTTTCAAATTTCCAGAAAGCTTCCTAAGGTCTAATGCGTTACAATGATTAATGTAATGTATTAGACCTTAGGTCATTCATGTCATTCATTGATGTAATGTTTTTCAGTCATTCATGTCAAATGCAAAGTCTAGAGCTCTAACTTAGGTCAAAATGGGATATAACACCACAATTTTATGCATAAAGCCCATTATGCCAACAAACTCCAGATTTGAGACATATGTATATTAAGGGGCCTCAAGAACCCATAAAGTTGCTAACCTTACGGGATCCATGCACTCCTATCAACCCAAAAATGGAGACAAGTGGCTAGAAACCTAGATCTATCATGCTTTAATGAAAAAGGCAGAGACTTTAGACCTCTAAAAGGTCAGAAACGAAGTGAAGATGCAAGATCTATGTTGGAACCAAGCACCAAAACACCAATATGAGCTCATTCTTTCTTCAACCTTCAAAAGAATGGCTTCACACATTGAGCACACACACACACATAGAGGCTGGGGTTTGGATGGGATAAGATCTTAGATGGTGGAGGCTGTCAAATGAGGCAACCCTAGGAGTTAATGCCTTTAAATAGGGCACCAATCCCGAAATTAGGGTTTAAACCTTCAAGCGGTCGCCACGTCGTGGCCAAAAGCTTGCCACGTCGTGGAGCATTGTCTTTAAAAATGGATTTCTCATTATTTTCTTCGGTGGCGGTGACCACTTTGATGACTAAGCATCTTTGACAGTTGTAGCTATTATTTAAAAGATTTTTTACATGAATACGTGCAAATCTTTTATTTTTGGCATTTAATTGCCTTTTAAAATCATCTTGTGGGAAGGCTTTTATATTAATAAATTGAATTTAACAAAGAAATTCGGTTGTTAATATGATTCAAATTTCTTTGCATATTTGTAATTGCACATCTACAATCTTTTATTTGAGAAATCATGAACTTATTAGGTTCTTGATTACCTATATTTTATTACTACTCATCAGAGTTGTCATAAAAAATTATGTTTTTAAAAAAGATAATTGTTATTATAGAGTTTATAGATTTTTAAATTGGAAAACATTAACGGGATAGTTTTGTTATTTAAATAAAAGATAGTTTTCATACCAAACTTGTGCTAGCCGCCATGTGATTTCTTCATCAATCATAGTGTCGATCATTCCTTTTTTCCTACGTCCTCCGCACTAGCGGTACTTGTTAGTACTAGATATTTATGACGGATATGACTCCATACTTTCGAAATATAGACAATTGCACAAAAAGATAGATCAAGGAAAACTCCTTTTATTTATAAACAAACTAAAACCCAAAGGTTTTTGCAATTTTAATCTATAAACAATTATTGGGTTTCACTCGCTCATTGCAGATTTTTAAATAGAATGCTTAAGGCTTTCATATTTTTGCTCTGATAAAAATGAAAGAATAACTCTATCATAGAGAGCATCTGATAATGCCATTTTCCACCATGGCTAACGTTTTCTCTCCACTATCTAAAACATTATTAAAGTAGTGGACGGTTGTTTTGATGGACGATTAAGTGTCAGAGCATCTTTAAAAATGGACTTCCCGTTATTTTCTTGGGTGGTGGGGGTAACTTTGATTGTTGAGCATCTTTGAAGGTTGTGTCTATTTTTTAAAAGATTTTACACACAAATATGCGCAGATTTTCAATTTCTAGTATTTAATTACCTTCTAAAATCATCTTGTCGGGATGCTTTTATATTAATAAATTGAATTTAACAAAGAAATTTCGCTATTAATATGATTCGAAATTCTTTGAATATTTTTAATTACACTTCTGCAATCTTTTATTTGAAAAATCATGAACTTATTAGGTTCTTGATTTGATAATATTTTATTACTACTCATCAGAGTTGTTAAAAAATTATGTTTTTATAAAAGATAGTTTTTATTATAGAGTTTATATATATTCTTAAATTGAAAAACTTTAACGGGATAATTTTGTTATTTATATAAAATATAGTTTTCATACATCGTTTGTGCTAGCAACTCGGCCTCCTGACTAGGAGTACTTGTTAGTACTAGATTTTATGACAGATTCGACTCTGGATTTTCGAAATACAAACAATTGCTCAAAAAGATAGATTGAGGTTCACTCACTCATTGCAAAATTTTAAATAGAATGTTTAAGGCTTTCGTATTTTCACTCTTATAAAATTGAAAGCATAACTCTTTATTTATAGATCATAGAGAAGATCTGATAATGCCATTTTCCATCATGGCTGACGTTTTCTCTCCACTATCTAAAACATTATTAAGTAGTGGA